ACATGCACTGCCCAGCCTGGCCTGGCGGGCAGGGGCCGACCTGAGCCCTTTTGGCACCCTGGGCCCGGGCACGCGGCACTGCCCCTGGACACACTGCACAGGCACAGACCCACCCCCGAGGCACATGACGCATGTACACACTGGCCACGGCCGCTGGTACACAGCCTGGGGATGCCACGCACGCCTTACAGCTGCCATCAGGCACCCTTCATCGGTTGGCGCCCCAGGCAGCTGCCCGGTTCGTCCATGCCTCTGTCCAGCCCTGGGAGTCGCCTCTCCTTAATCTTCTTTGCTAAATTACACAATCTAAGGCAGGTTTTCTAACCCTTTGATCCAATGGTGGGCAACCTGCAGCCTGAGAGCCACACGTTTGGCCCATGAGATCTTTGTTGCCCACGCGCCCGGTTGCCAGACTCCACTGGTTTCCATCCACATCGTTTTTTCCCCCTTTTATTGGTATTAGTAACGTGACACACACATAAAGCCTGGTCTCGTGAAGTGAGGGGCATGCTGATTGCACACAACCCTGACTTTGTGAGCCGTGCGCTCCCTCTGCATCCAATCAAAGCCCTGCTGCAGTTCAGTCGGCACCCTCCGCGGATTCTAGGCACGCCAGCACCGTGAGCAAAACTAGCCTATCCTGGGAGAGCATCTTTTTTAGGACAATCTTGCGGCCAACTGAGAAGGAGGGAGGCTCATGTGGCCCACTCACTAGCTTAGGTTGCCCATCGCTGCTTTAATCATTCTCATGGTTCTTTTCTCTTCCATTTATCTACATCCTCCTTGAGCTGTGGGCCCAGAACTGGACCCAGGATTCCGCCAGCAGTCACACCAGGGCCAAAGTTCTCTATTGTCACCTGAAAGTCCTCTGTTTAGAGTTCCCTAAGCCTAACCCTGTTTATGCATCACAAGATCACGGGAGCTCTTTTAACTACTGCCTCACACTGAGAGCTCTAGTTCAATTGCTTATCCACCACATATCCCTTACATTCTGTTTATTTTTATTGAAAATTGTCCTCTATTTTTGGGTGGGAGAGGGCAGAGAGAAGAGAAAAGAAACTCTACAGTTCAGGCTGTCTGCATCATTTCAACATTTGCTATTTTCTCAGAAACCAAAAACAAGGTAAAAATGGCATTGAAAGCCAAATGAAGCAGAACTGTTCTCTCATTTCATTTAGACATTTCCTGTCAAAGTCGTGCAAAAAATGATATTTTTGGCCACGGGTTCCTCATCTGTTTGGCTGTGGCATTGTCATTCTTTTGGCAACAGCTTCTCTTGGACACAGACAGACGCTGGATCCCCACCCCACCCACCCCCTGGAGCTAAAACCCAGTCCTTGGTGGACTCTTTGGGTACATCTACACTGCACACTTATTTCAAAATAGTTATTCTGAAATAGCTTATTTGGAAATAGCATGAGGCCTCTGTTGAGAACCTGTGGCATAGCTGGAATGATTGGTGGAAGCGGACAATCCTCTAGTCAGAGCTCCAGTGAGTGGCACACTGGAGTCTCAGGATGTGTCTAAACTACACCTCTCTATCGGCAGAAGGACGTAAATTAGATACATTGAAAGTGCAAATGAAGTGTGGATTTAAATATCCCATGCTTCATTTGCATAATCATGTCCTGGTGCTGTTTCGAGCAAGCGCCATTTCAAAACTGAAACCATGGTTTAGATGCGGTTTTTCCAACAACGGAGCAGTTTTTCCTCACACAGGCAGAGAGGCTTTGTACAGTGGAGCACAGGATCTTTCAAAAAATTGCCCTGTTGTCGGAAAAAATGCGTCTAAACCGCGGTTTCAGTTTCGAAATGGTACTTGTTCGAAACAGTGCCAGGACATGATTATGCAAATGAAGTGGGGATTTAAATATCCCGAACTTCATTTGCATAATTCAAAATTGCACTTGCATGATTCGAAATGGTGCTTGTTCGAAACAGTGCCAGGATGTGATTATGCAAGTGAAGGGTGGGATATTTAAATCCTTGCTTCATTTGCACTTTTGAAACATCTAATTTACATCCCGCTGCCAACAGGGTACATCTACACTGCACGCTTATTTTGAAATAAACTATTCTGGAATAATTATTCCAAAATAGCTTATTTCAAAATAGAATGTCTATACTGCAAGGAAGACTCAAAATTAGTCCAAATCCATCTCTCTGAATGTGGATGTGCTCTCTCAATTTAGAGCCCCAGGAGGCATGGGGAGTGGCTATTTCAAAATAACAGCAGTGGCGTGTCTACACATGCCTTGTTTCCAAATAGCTATTTTGGAAGAGGCGTTATTCCTCATAGAATGAGGTTTACAGATTTCGGAATAAGCCGTCCTCTATTTTGAAATTATTTCAAAATAACGGAACATCTGTGTAGACACGTGCATTGTTATTTCGAAATAACGCTCATTCTCTCAAAATAACGGTCCAGTGTAGACACACCCTTAGCAGCTTCCCAGCTCTCCCAGGTTCAGCTGGCATCAGAGAGCAGTGCTCTAGGGACTCCCAGACCTGAGTTTGAGTCCCAGGCCCTCATACAGGCTGGGAAGCTGGTACAACTTGTACAATGGAGGAGCTGAGAGTCATTGCACCAAACGATAAGCCCTGGAAGAGAATGGAATTGACTTCAAGCCAGGAGGAGCAGCATCCCCAGCACTTGCGCACATGGAATGAGCTTCTCCGTGCCCTGATTCTATGTGTGGGCTTTCCCAAAAGGAGCCTAAGGAAGTGAGGTGCCTATAACTCTTATTGCCACTCAATGGCAAGTGGGTACCTGAACCCCTTTGAAAAACCCAGGCAAGGACAGTCCACCCAGAAATGACCAAAAGTGGGATTAGGAGAAAGGGGCTGCAGGCAGCAAAGGGAGATGTGATCCTTCTAAGAACTCCCTGTCGAGGAAAAGGACAGCAGGAAGCAACATGGCAAGGTGTGTCCAAGTTGCAGCACCAAAGTGGAATTAAGGGCTCTACTTGTTTTAAGGAATTTCTAAGGCTCAGAGAGAGGCAGTGTGGGCAGGGATGTGATACGCATGTCAGATTTGTCTTGTTCGTTAAAAACCACCTGACTGGAATCTTCTGCATTTCCCATTCGTTTGCACTTTCCACTGGAGTCATTCGCCATCCCATCAAAATGCTTGTGTGAGTAAATAAGGGTTAGGGGCAATCGCCTTGAATTCCCCTTTCTGGAAGCATGGGGCAGCTCCACAGTATCTCAAATCCAGACCTTTGGATTGAAAACCAGCTGTAATCCCTTTGAAACTTAAGCTGACCCTTCCATCCATAGGACTTCCTGCCCCCACTCCCACCCACACCTGCAGACAGAGTAATCATACTACTAATGAACACTCACTTGTGATGGCAAATGAATGTGATGTAAACACATACTTCAGGGAACAGGTCCAGAAGTCCTCCCAGACCTCATTAGAACTTTGAAGTCAGATAAAGGGTATCTGTGTTCTCAAGTAAGGAAAGAGAAAGAAGGTCTTGATATGGATTAGATGCGGTTCTACCAAACTCTAACTATGCTGGAAAGAATTTGGCCGTTCAGCATTAAAAAAAGACAGTTTCCTTACATATCAGAGAGATCGACAGATAGATAGATACTCTCTCACCTGTGCCACTAGAACTCCAGAGGACTAGAACGGACATCGTATGGTTTTTCCCCTCCCCGTGCAGTTCTTGGGTGAGATCGCATGGTTTCTCCCCTCCCCGTGCAGTTCTTGGGTGAGTTTGGCTTTATTATTTATATCAGGTTAGTGTGTTAAAATACCCCTATCCCTGGGAGGTGATGAATTGAGCAGCTTCGAGGGTACGCGTTCAGGTGAACGATTAAAATCAAGAAGCTAATTTAATTCAATCAACAGATTTGATTAAAGACCTAAAACAATTTCTCCAAGAAAACATAACATCAGTAATTTGTTTAGTTCTGCGAATTATTTTAAGGGTTTTCCCACTGTGTTTCCCATTCATGCACTAGATCAAGGAAGCTTTTTTTGATTTCAAATCCCCTGCTTCTCCTCCCGACTCTTGTCAGTCTTCATTCACTGGCATGGCTTTTAATTATTAATATTTTTAATCTCTGTCTTCTCCATTTACACCACAGCTATGTCCCCAAACAGTGTTCTTTCTTGCGTTAGCAACCACTTCCCAAAACTTAAGTGACACAAATTCTTTTCTGGTACCAGATGAAATGGTTAAGTTAGCCTGGGGTCTTGAAACTGCAGCTCAACATTGAAAAAAATTACAATATAATAATAGAGTGAAGTAGGATTCTGCATGTCAAAAATTTGATCTGTCTATAGCATAGATCCAATACCTTTCCCAGACCTGAAGAACTATAGGTACATAGGAAAGCTTGTCTCTTTCACAGAGAAGTTGGTCCAATAAAGTATATTAGCTCAGTCATCGTCTCTCTCTCCCACCCACACCCCCTATCTATCTATCTATCTATCTATCTATCTATCTATCTATCTATCTCCCCCTGAAGCCAGCCTTGCCTCCAGCCTTTGTCCAGATTCCCGGGCAAAAGATGTCACCTGGTTCTCCTCCCCTTCCAGGCTCAGGTTGCAGAAAGAGTCAGCCATTGTGTATATGAGGGAGGCTGTCACACCAAAATTTACATCGCTATTGGTGCAGTGCCCAGGGAAACTGAGGGGGTTACAAGAGGCCAGTAGAACTCCCATGCAAGATAATGAAGCGAACCGAGCGAATACAACCCCCCACTTCGTCACAAGCCCTTCAATGCCTGTAAAGCTAACCCCGATTAACCCTTCCTGCATGTTTCTAGGCAAAAGGGAGGCAGAGTTGGAGCTGACATTGAACACTGAGGGGTGCAGAGGGAAGTGGTCACAGGCCCTAAAACAGGAAGAGGTTTTTGCAAAGAATCGCATGTTCCTTGAGGCTTTCTCAGCTATTTTTGGCACCACTGTTTGCTGATGGATGGGGATTTGCAATAGGCTGGAAAGGGAAGATTTTATGACTTCATTTCTCTGCTTGTTTATGCAGGTGCCATATGCTGTACTCACATTAACGAAAGGGCCATGCATGGTTCTGGGAGGGAGAAAAGTGTTTTCAGGTGAGAGGCAAGGAAGAGGAGTCGGAGGGGCCTCCATCTGTAGCAGAAGGGAAACTCCCAGCCAAAGGGAAGGAGACTGCGATGAAATACTAAAGACAAAGTCTTGCTCAGCTGAGGGCAGGCAGCAAATTGTCCTTTGACTACCTCTCTGTTTCTCTTCCATGGTGACCCTGTGTTCGAATCACAGTTTCACTTAAACCAATTCCAGTTCCGTTCTTGCATCTGAAGGGTTCCCCGGCTTAATGACAAAGGACAATCGTAGCACGGTGACCAATTTCCTTCTCTTAGGACTGTCTGACGATCCCCAATTCCAGCCACTCCTCTTCCTGGTCTTTTTAGTGATTTATCTCACCACCTTCGTAGGGAACATGACGATCATGGCAGTGATAAAGGCTGACTCCCAACTTCACACACCCATGTACTTCTTCCTGTCCCAGCTGTCCTTTGTCGACATCTGCTATTCTTCTGTCACCGTCCCTAAAATGCTTGAGAATTTCCTAGCGGAGCAGAAGAAAATCTCTTTCCATGGCTGCATTGCTCAGATATTCTTTTTCACTCTGTTTGTTGGCGTTGAGATCTTCACACTCTCGGCCATGGCTTATGACCGATACGCAGCCATTTGTGACCCATTGCATTACATGGGGATAATGAACAAATGTTTCTGTGTCCAGGTGGTGTTCAGCACGTGGGCTTTGGGTTTCTTCCATGCCCTGATAAACACACTTCCTGTGCTGAACCTGCATTTCTGTGGACCCAATGTAATCAGCCATTTCAGTTGTGAGCTCCCTCCCTTACTACAACTCTCCTGCACAGAAGCCACCATCAATAAAGTGGTGCTTTTTGCAACTCTAGTAATATTTGGCCTGAGCTCTTTCCTCCTCACCCTCATCTCCTACATGCATATCATCTCCACCGTGCTAAAGATACGCTCTGCGGGGGGCAGGCAGAAAGCCTTCTCCACCTGCAGCTCCCACCTCATTGTGGTGGGGTTATTGTACCTGACAGGCTTCTTTCTGTACATGAAGCCAAACACAGATTCTCCGTCAATGCCAGACAGACTCATCTCCATCCAGTACAGCATCTTGACCCCCATGTTAAACCCTATCATCTACAGCCTGAAGAACAAAGAAGTGAAAACGGCGCTGGGGAAAATGCTCCAAAAATTCAAGTTCCTCAAGTAATGTTAGTATTATCCAGTGGGGATGTAATAAAGACTTACAGAAGAAATGTTGGACAAGGACTGATTCCATATTGTGACCCTACGTTATATAGACTAAGAGTGTGTGTATATTGATTGACTTTAATTTAATTCAGTATATTTATTCCTATAGTGGAAAGATGGTCTTTTCGATCATGACTAACGAGATCTGAGTGAAATTTCTGGTTCTTGTCTTGTCACCTTGGGAGTCATTTACACTACTTAGGTGATGGAGGTCCACAATTCCCATGATTATTAAACTGGCAGGTGTGAGATTTTCCTAGAAGATAAAGGGAATTGTCTTCTGAACCCTACTAAAAATCAATGGGATTTCCGAGCCCTACACCTTTTGGAATCCTTAAAAAAAATCCAAGCCTAAATTAATGGGAGCTTGCCACATGATCTTCATTGCTCTATAATATTAGTGTGAGTTGGGGATCGATATCTGGTACCTTTGAAAACCCCTTTCTTCAGCTCCCATGGGTAAGTTGAGGGAAATAATAACAACTTTCCCTCACTCCTTTCAACTCTTGTTTGAGTAGTCTTGTGGTAACTGGGCCAAAAAATTTACCCCCTAATTAGCTGTGAAAAGCTAGTGAAAATTCATAAAGATTCAAAGTAACATCAGATGTTGATGGGTTAAGAGAAACAGAAAGACTGAAGAGGTACAAACAAAAAGTTTACTGAATATACCCAAAGGCTGGGTTAATGTCATGCCTGGTAAATAAGGGTATGTCTACACAGCAAAGTTATTTTGAAGTAACTTTCCTAGCATCTACACAAGCCAACTGCTATTTCAAAATTAATTCGAAACAGTGGAGGGCTTATTTTGATATTGGTAAAACTCATTCCACGAGGAATAACACCAATTTCGAAATTGCTATTTCGAAATAAGCACTGTGTAGATGCTTATTTCGAAATAGGGGGCCTCCAGCCCTTCCCAGGATGCCCTCGGGCCGTCCTGGCCACAAGGTAACTTCTGACCTGATGCCCTGCCGGAACCAGTTCCGGCTGACCTTAAATGCGATTCAGTGCCCAATCAGTGTGGACGCGCTATTTCGAAATAGAAAAAAGCTACTTCAAAATGCATTTTGTGTGTAGTCGTGTTATTTCAAAATTAGATATTTCAAAATAACGCTGTAGTGTAGACAAAGTGAAACCAGGATCAAGGATTGTTGTGTTGGAAGTTAGGTCTAATTGGTGGACATAATTACATAGACATGCTCTATTGTGCCCATCGTTGCCCTACGTGGTCCTTCCAAGACGAGTAGTTTAGGGAAAAGCTGGTTATCATGACGCGATGTCTTTGGGGGTTGGACTCAATGAGGGGGCTGGACTCGATGATCTCCTGAGGCCTCTTCCAACCGTAGGGTTCTATGACTCTCTGACTCCAGCTGGTTGGAGAATGGGAAGGTGCAAGTTTCACCACCATGGCTGCTACTCCCAACATCTCTGGGATCCCCAGACCTTCTTCATCATAATCCCGGGAAATATCCTGAGCAGATGGGGTCAGAGAAACTGAGCCAGATGAGTTTTCCACTTCCTTTGGCTTTGGCTAAATGTCTAATATCACTGTGGACGTGAGAATCTGTTTCCCTCCCCTCTTCATGCATCCTTGCCCTTTCCTGTCCTATTTCTTCTCTCCCCTAGCCCTCGCCTTTGTCCAGCTGGTAGTAAAAGCCTGGCTGGACCAGACAAAACTGGGGGTTGGAGAATTTTGGGTTTTTTTAATATTGGGGTAAGCTTGAGACCAGAGAGGCAGCTAAATGCAATGACCAAAACATCCCAATGCCCATTCAAGTTTGCCAAGTCTCCCAGTGGTTGGTAACCCCATGGGCTGAGCCATTGTTTATCCAACAGCGAGACGGCAAGTAAGAGAACCAGGAACAGCATGTTCTAGCTGTGTTGTTCTTTTCTTTCCCCCATTTCGCGTGCTTGTCTTGTTTGGTTTTCTAGGGGACTGGAAAGGTCTTTGATGACAGCAACAGCTTCAACCCATCTCATCCTACTTCTCTGTGCCCCAAGAAGGACTCCGTTATTCCCATTTTGAATATCAGCTAGAAGAACGTTGCACCGGGGAGGTTTCTTTGAAAAATTCTCCAGCTAATGGGGAAGGGAATGCAGGATCTTGTCGGCATGAAAGACTTTGTATTTCAAATGCTTTTCAATGGGTTTTCTTCCCCTCTCACTCTCCCTATTGCTAATAAAAAGTCCCAAAGCTGTTTAGCAGTGTGTTTGCTCTAATAGGATATGTCAATCTTGCACCCTCTTTCAAGAGAGGGATGCAAATGAAGACGTTCGAAATTGCAAATGAGGTTTACCTGTTATTTCGAGAGAAGACCCTTCTCTCAAAATAACCGCTTCTTAACAGCGTCTGTTATTTCAAAATAGTTTTATTTTGAAATAGCGCCATAATGTGAATATGCAAATGAAGTGTGGGATATTTAAATCCTGGCTTCATTTGCAATTTCGAATGTCTTCATTTGTGTTCCTCTCTCAAAAGTGGGTGCAAGTGTAGACATACCCATACCGAGCAGGCTGAAGTCTGTGTATCACCAAAGCCCGAACTGGGTTTAATTGTTTCATGTTGGACACTTGCAGGGTCATGTGAACACTTGGGCTGAGATGGACCTTTTCAGATCAGCATCGGGGGGTTGTATTTAAGTTCCTTTTGATTTCCAGGGTATGTGAGTGTCTAACTCCCTTAGGCTCCCTTGATAATCCCAGGCTATAACACCCACCACCACTTGTGAGTTTGATTCTTCTTCTTCTTGCAAGGGCTGACAGGGTTCTTGGTTCCATGCACAATGTGATCTGACCAGTGACCCTGGGCCATATGGATCTGTCTACACAGCAAAGAAAATCCCATAGCAGCTGATTCAGGTCCAGAGGGCTCAGTCTGTCTCAGGCTCTGGCTTCCACCTTGCAGGGTCCTAGGACCTGAGCTGCTTCCCACCTCATACACCTGCACAGCAATGAAACAGCCCCACAGCCAGCCCTGGGCAATATAGGCCAGCAATGGCTGTCCAGTTGCTGTGCAGACAGACCTTAACAATGACTGGGGCATCAGATCCGCAAAATGCAAATTGTCTCAGGCTGCACATGGCCCTAAGGAAATACTAGATCCATAGAACATGAAGGTTGGGAGAGACCTCAGGAGTCATCGAGTCCAGCCCCTGCCCAACGCAGGTTTTTGTCAGGACTTAAAAACCTCTAGGGATAGAGATTCCACCCTTTCCCTAGGGAACCCAGCCCAGTGCTTCATCATCTGTTAGGGAAATAGTCTTTCCTAATCTCCAACCTAGACCTCCCCACTGCCACTTGAGCCCATTGCTCCTCTTCTGACATCTGCCCCCACTGAGAACAGCCTCTCTCCAGTCACTGGTCTCCATTTAACGTTGATTTGTCTCAGACTACTTTGTTTTGAAGTCAGTTCAACAAAGGGGACCAAAGTATTTCAGTTCAGGAATGTTGACATGTTTTTTCAAATGAAAAAGACAGAGGGAAAATAAGTCGTCATTTTCAAATTGAGCATTTTCAGAACTATTTTATTTCATTAGCTCTGTCTTTATCTCTGTCAATAAATAGATACGGGGTTTAATGAAAATATAGAAATAGATATAGGGGTGTGAGGGTGTGTTTTCAGAACAAAAATCTAATGCTGAAACACTAGAATTTCCCGTGATGAAAGTTTTCATTTTTACGATGCAAAACTCATAAAGATAAACAGAACCATGGGTTTATTGTGTGGCTGCACCTTTATTGAATAATTATTTCGGAACCATTGTGCTTGGAAAACATAGGCCTTTGCCTAGGACTTTCCGCAGGGCGGTGTGTACCTCTTTGTTTTTCAGGCTGTAAATGATGGGGTTTAGCATCGGCGTTACAATGCTGTATTGCACCGTGACTAGCTTTTCGAAGGAGGCCCCCGAGGCTGGTCTCAGGTACTTGCAAAAAGCTGTTCCGTAGAAGAACAGAACCACAGTCAGATGGGATCCGCAAGTGGAAAAGGCCTTGCGCCGCCCCTCCGTGGAGCGGATTCTGAGGATTGAGGAGATTATGAGACCATAAGAGACAATGATCACAGAGGAGGAAGCCAGTCCCACAAAAACACTGGAGGTGAGAACCACCACCTCATTGACCATGGTGTCACTGCAGGCGATATGCAGAACTGTGGGGATTTCACAACAAAAATGATTGATTTTGTTGACCTGGCAGAAGTGCACTCTTAGGATGAGAAGGGTGTTGACCAATGCAACAGTAAACCCAATTTTCCAAGCCCCTCCGGCTAGCTGGATACACACCTCTTTGCTCATGTTTTGTATGTAGGTCAAAGGGTGACATATGGCTTCGTAGCGATCGTATGCCATGGCAGAGAGCATGAAGATCTCTGTCATGCCTGATGCCAGAAAGAAGAATCATAGAATCATAGGACTGGTGCCTGATGCCAGAAAGAAGAACATCTGGACGAGGCAGCTGTTGATTGAAATCGTTTTCTGCACTGCGAGGAAATTCACCAGACGAGGCAGCTGTTGATAGAAATAGTTTTCTGCACTGCGAGGAAATTCACCAGCATCTCTGGGACAGTAACTGAGGAATAGCAGATATCGACAAAGGACAAGTTACTCAAGAAGAAATACATGGGTGTGTGTAAGTGGGGGTCTGCCCATATCACCAATATGATCAGCATGTTCCCCAGAAGGGTGATCAGGTAAATAACCAAAAACACCAGGAAGAGGAACATCTGGACCTGTGGGTCACTGGAGAGCCCCATCAGAATAAACTCAGTCACTGCCGTGTGATTCTCCATGCTCACTGGTTGAACAAAACACTAACCTGTAAAGAGAAAAACAAGAAAAACATCCGCAGACATGAAGACTGAGGCTTTCAAAGGAGAACGTAAGAACAGCCACACCGGGTAAAGGTCCATCTAGCCCAGTGTCCGGAATTTCAATGACCGTTCAGCGTCCAACACCCCTCAATACTCTTGAAACGCAGAGTCAAAAGTGAGAAAGTGTAAAGCAGTGGATCCAGCGTGTCCTTGCTCTGACAATTAACAAAAGATCGATGGATAGCCAAAGCCCTGTCTGAAGGTTTCTTGCAAACTGAGCCATGGTAGGTCTGCTACCTACATGGTTACCTTCACCTAGCAGGCAGAGCATCAGGACTGCCAGCAGTGAAGTGGGATTATGGCCGTGGTTCTCAACGTGTGGACCCTGGATCACTAGCGGTCTGCGACCATTTCACAGATGGGCTGCCAGCTCAAGTTCTGCCCTCCCCCCCCCCCTTGCAACAGGGAGCCTGCGCTGGAACTCTGGATGGGGGAATGACAGCATGGGAAAATGCTCACCTGGAGGCTTTGCCTACTGTTCCCGTTGGCTGGAATCGTGGCCAATGGGAGCAGTCCGGGGCACATAACCAGATAAGCATCCCCCATCCCTCTGCTCTGCATCCCTGTGAGGCACACCTCACCCACCAAGATCCCACACACCCACCCTGCTCCTGCACCCTCCCTCCTGACCAACTTTGCACCCTCAGCCCGCTCCTGCACCTAACCTCCTGGTCAGACTCTTCCCATTTTGTCTTCATGGGTCTGCGGAAAGGTCTACATTGAGCAGGGTGGGCAGTGGGCCAAAACGTTTGAGCACCACTGGCTTATGGACTGATCAAGAGAAGGGCCAGGGTGGAAAAGATTTACAGACTGAGTATAGCAGGTTCTTGCTACTATTAGTCAAGTTATATAGTTATATTTGTTGGTATCAGTGAAGAAGAAGAGAGAGGAAGGGAGAGGGGGAAGAATTTGATTATTAATCATTCCAGTGAACCTCACAAGTTGTGAGCCTGCTTCCCCCATCCTTACTCAAGGGGAGTGGTCTCACACAATCTACACAATCCCGTTGCCATTCAATGGCCATTCTTCAAAATTCCGGACTTTTACCATTTACACCAGGGACTATTAACCAATGGAGCCATTTGACAGACGAGTTCTCCAGCACTGTAAAACCTCTGATCGAGGCTGGAAGTCTCTCTGAATGGTGTGTCTGAGGGCAGCAATAGGTTTTTGGACCAGCTACAGAAATGACTGAGTGGAATTCTATGGCCTGTAAGATGCTGAATGTTACAATTGTAGCTACAAGTAGCTATGTGACCTCCACTTTCCCCACTCCATTTGTCTGTGCTTAAAACTGGAAAATGATAAGAACCCATGTGTTTAAAGTCCTTTGAAATTTGTAGTAGAAAATATAGACACACCACTGTTAGATGAGACCTATGCCCCAGTGGTTTGTTTAGTAATTGTGCAAGGTAACATGTTCAAAAGCGCCCGTTTTACCGACAGTTCCTGTTACTGCTAAAGGATTTTACTAAACTGTGGGTGGTCATACATCAGAAGGGACAATGAGGGGTCCTCAAGACCCGTACCCCTGCCGTCACAGCAAGACCAAACACCATCTAGATTATCTCTGATAGATGGGGCTACTTAGGGCTACTTGGGACTACTATATGGTGGGTACATAGCTGGCTATATAACCCTTCTCAGAGAGAAGTTATTAACGGTTCACAGTCATGCTGGAAGGGCATCACAAGTGGGGTTGTGCAGGGGTCTGTTTTGGGACCAGTTCTGTTCAAAATCTTCATCAATGATTTACATAATGGCATAGAGAGGACACTTATTAAGTTTGCAGATGATCCCAAGCTGGGAGGGATTGCAACTGCTTTGGAGGATAGGGTGATAATACAAAATGATCTGGACAAACTGGAGAAATGGTCTGAGGTAAACAGGATAAAGTTTAATAAAGACAAATGTAAAGTGCTCCACTTAGGAAGGAACAATCCGTTTCACACACACAGAATGGGAAGCGACTGTCTAGGAAGGAGTCCTGCAGAATGGGATCTAGGGGTCATAATCTAAATATGAGTCAGCAGAGTGACACTGATGCAAAAAAAGTAAATATTATTCTGGGCTGCATTAACAAGAGTGTTTTAAGCAAGACACGAGAAGTCATTCTTCCGCTCTGCTCTGCATTGATTAGACTTCAATTGGACTATTGTGTCCAGTTCTGGACACCACATTTCAGGAAAGATGTGGAGAAATTGGAGAAAAACAACAAAAATTATGAAAGGTCTAGAAAATATGACCTATGAGGGAAGACTGAAAGAACTGGGCTTGTTCAGTTTGGAAAGGAGGCGACTGAGAGGGGACATGAGAGCAGCTTTCACGTATCTAAAAGGATGTCACAGAGAGGAGGGAGAAAAGTTGTTCTCCTTGGCCTCTGAGGACAGGACAAGAAGCGATGGGCTTAAACTGCAGCAAGGGAGGTTTAGGTTGGACATAAGGAAAAAGTTCCTACCTGTCAGGGATGGTCTATATGGTGCTTGGTCCTGCTGCGAGGGCAGGGGGCGGGAGTTGATGATCTTTCAAGGTCCCTTCCAGTTCCAGTAGTTTGTGATTATCTAACCTGCTCTCCAGTGATGAAGATTCCACAAACTCCCAAGGTCAGGCTGTAGTGAAATTTGAAATCATAACCCTGATTCATAAGACCAGTGCTCTAACCCCTGAGCTTTGCAGCCTGGATTGAGTGTGCCCTGCATAAAATATCATGTCTTTGAAGGAACGGCAGAAGCTGCCTTGCTATTAGGAAAGCCTGGGAAAGGGCAGGTTTTTGTGACGGTCAGGGAGTAGAGACCCACAAAATCCGCCTGTGTCCAACAGCCCCAGGAAAGAATCCCCTTTCCAATTGGTGATTTGGCTCTCATTGTTTTATTGTGTGTCTTTGTGTGTGTCAGCATAGTGTGTTTGTGAGTGTGGGGGGGTTTTGTAGTCCTGAAATGGAAATCCAAGTTCAAATTGCACCACACTGAAATATTGCATGGTGTGTTTCACTGATCCATTGACAGTCAGTGCTCTGTGTGTAGTGTGGATAACACCAAGAGCTGGCCTTGTTCACATAGCTTTCCTGTGCCTGGATTTAGGACTTGTATGCCTCATGATGGCAGACACAATGAGGCTCGAAAAATTACACTGCAGACATCTCTCCATCTGTATTCCTTTACTAAAACACGGGCACGAAGCACCTTGATGCATGTATCAGAGCACACCAGAAAAAAAAATGAAGGAAGAGTTTTGCAAGGAGCATCTGGTTTAAAAAACAATTGAAGCACATATAACATTTCAGTAAAACAGTCTTGGATGTCAAAAATGTGCCTAAGAGGATCAACAGCATGAAGATTAGGGAAGAAATGGGAACTTGACCCATTTTGATGTGAAACAACAGATCTTATTCCAATTGATTTCTTTTTACATGAAAGAGAGAATGCAAGTTTCCCAGCTACATAGCTGTCTTGCTGTCTGCACAAAGCAATTGGAGTAACCCGCTAGACTCTTTGTAACCCACTAGTCTTTTTGGCCCATTGCCTACAGAAGTGTTCATTGCCCACTTCACTCTAACCACTTTCCTGAAGTAGCAGGTAACCCCTTACTAATCTGTCCCACTTTGTACTTAGCTGGGACGCTCTGATGACTTTTCCTAGCTCAGTAGAAGAGCTCTGCAAGTCCAGAGCTCATCTGTTCTATTGATGTGGGTACATTACCTCAACCACCTTGTCTCATGTCCTGGGAACAACTGTGGGTACATTACCTCGTCCACCTTGTCTCATGTCCTGGGAACAACACAATGACAATAGCATGGCAAACAACACGTTCAGGTGTGTGCATTATTTTCATCTTCCCTACTTAATTTCCAGAGCATCTATTCATGTGTTTTTTTTCTTTGAAAAATACTCTACTACTGTCGTGATGGGGTTTGAGATAGATTAGAAGATCCAGAATATAAAAGATCATCACACTCACTCTGATTCTAGGCAAATGATATCATCATGAATGCATGCTAGTTTCCAAATTCCAGTCTCTGCCATTTCCTATCTTGCCTGAATGTCTTAGATGCCACAAGAGGAACAGGGAGGATTCATGTTCCAAAGCAGCCAACTCCATCTTCGGAGAATGATCTGTGGTCGTCACAGACATCCTCTTTTATATCTGTCCCTCTACTGGACGTTAATTTCCACTTGCTGTTCTCTGCCTTGAATATTCATAATTGATTCCAGGAGGAGTCAGAAAATAGACATTTATTCCATCAGAAATGTGCTTAATGGAGCTTCTTGTTCTGAAATGATGACAGCTCTGTCTGATTCAATAATTAACCACAATGTCACCACACAGTTTACATGGAACTTCATCACCATAAGGCGGGGCTCCCAAGAAGTTCATGATACAAGCCAGTTCAAAGAATGAAGCCACATAAGTGCATCCACTCAGGGATGTGACTACCCCCACTCTTAGTAGCATGTTAAGTAAATCCAAGTCCTAGTGTGGACAGTGATAGGTTGAGGAAAGAATTCTCCCATCATCCTGTCTGCTTAAACCTCCCTTGCTCCCCTTTAAGCCCATTGCTTCTTGTCCTATCATCAGAGGCCAACAACAACAGTTTTTTCTTTCTCCTCCTTGGAACTCTCTTTTAGATATTTGAAAACTGCTATCATGTCCCCTCTCAGTCTTCTCTTTTCTAAACTAAACAAGCCCGGTTCTTTCAGTCTTCCCTCATAGCTCGTTTTCTAGACCTTTCATCATTCTTGTTGCTCTTCTCTGGACCCTCTCCAATTTCTCCACATCTTTCTTGAAAAGTGCTGCCCAGAATTGGACACAAGACTCCATTTGAGACCTAATCAGCACAGAGTAGAACAGAAGAATGACTTCTCGTGTCTTGCTCACAACACTCTTATTAGTGATAATGTTAACTTCTTATATTTAAAGTTTTGTAGTCCTGTAGTAGTAGCGCCATTGATTGGCCATTTAGGCCATTTATTGGCCATTTATGCCAAGCAATCATTTATGATAATCTACTCTGGCTTCCAGAATATGAATGAGAGATTTTGTGTGTGTCTCTGTGTGTGTGAGAGAGAGAGACAGACAGACAGACAGAGATAGAGACTGTGCATTGTTAACCTAGTTAAATTAAAAGGAATGAAGCATATTGACTTGCGGGATTACAAATTTAATGTTACACACACACACACACACACACACACACACACACACACACACATGCTGAGATAAAATGGACATCACATACGCATACTCCCTGCAGTACCCAGCTTCACCATCCGCTCTCTTGCAAGCCGCCATTGGAAATGTGTTTAGCCTTGGGCAGCAGTAGACACCTTCCCATCATGGCTTTCCTCAAAGCTTCCTGGACCTCCTTGTTTCTCAGGCAGTATATCACAGGGTTCAGCATGGGCGTCACCACCGTGTAGAACACGGACACCACCTTGTTGAAGTTGACCAAGTTGTTGGAGTCACTGGATGTTGGCCGCACATACATGAACATCAAGGTGCCGAAGAAGATGGCCACTACGGCCAGATGGGAGCCACAGGTAGAGAAAGCTTTCTGGCGCCCTGTGGCCGAAGGAATCTTCAGGATTGTCGCCAGGATGAGGACGTAGGAGACCATGATCAGGAGGAAGGAGCTGACAATGATGCCAGTGGCCACAATGAAATTGATGGTCTCAACCTCGCGGGGATCCATGCAGGAGAGCTTCAGCAAGGGTGAAGTATCACAAAAGAAGTGGTTGATCTGGTTGGGCCCACAGAAGGGCAACTTGCAGACCGAGACCAGGGGTGGAACGTTGACAAGGAAGGCTCCTACCCAAGAGCTCATGGCCAACCGAAAACAAACACTGTTACTCATGAGGATCGGGTAGCGCAATGGGTTGCAGATGGCTACATAGCGATCATAGGCCATAATGGCCAAGATGAAGCATTCAGCAGTACCCAAGCTGATGAAGAAGTACATCTGGGCAATGCAGCCAGTGTAGGAGATGGATTTGTCCTTGTCCAGGAAGCCCTCCAACATCTTGGGGATGATGTTGGAGGTGTACCAGATCTCCAGGAAGGAGAAGTGGCTGAGGAAAAAGTACATGGGGGTGGGGAGGCGGCGGTCGATACGTACTATCAGGATTATGATGATATGTCCAGACAAGGTCACCAGGTAGATGACCAATCCCGCCAAAAACAGCAACAGTTGCAGCTTCTGGAGGCTGGGGAAGCCCAGGATGATGAAGTGGGTCACTAGTGTTGCATTCCCAGCCCTCATGGTGGCATTATGTGATCTGTGGGATTAAAACAAAGCAAAAAACACACAATGGCTTCTTATGATTGAACACATGACTAAGTAAAATGGCAAGAGAGAGAGATGGGGTGTATGGGGATAGATAGATAGATAGATAGATAGATAGATAGATAGATAATGCCGAGTGTCTAACTTTTAACCTTCAACACAGTCCCACAGGACAGTGTGACAGGTCAGCTGGAGAAAGGCGGGCTCAGGGGAGCTACCATTAGTGGACTGATAATGGGATACAAAACTGTAAACAAAGAGAAGCTATTAAAGGCACCATGTTGGATTGGAGAGAGGTCACCAGCGGGATTCCTCAGGGATGTCTCCTGGGTCTGGTGTTTGCTGTCTCTACTAATGACCTGGATGTAGAAATAGACAGCAGTGTGATGACATTTGCAGGTGGCATCATGCTGGGAGGGCAAACACTTCATTGGATAGAACTGAAATTCGAGGGATCTTGATAAATTGGGGAACTGATCTATAGAGAACAAAGTGAAATTCGATACAGACCAATGTCAGGTGCTACATGTAGCAAAAACCAAATGTACAGATAGGGTGTGTCTACACAGCACCCGAAACTTGAAATAAGTTATTTTGAAATAGATTCAAAATAAGCTACGCAATTTGCACTACACAAATTGCATTGCTTATTTTGAACCTATTTAGAAATAGCTTATTTCATCATTTGGTGCTGTCTACACAGTGCCAAATTTTGAAATAAAGGACTATTTCAAGCTATCCCTTACTCCTAGTAGAATGAGGTTTACAGGGCTGGCGAAATGGCGCCTCCGCTATATTTCAAAATAGCGGATGCGTTCAAAAGATGGGAGGTAGCTATTTCGGGATACTGGAGGTATCCTGGAACAACTAGTCTGTGTAGACATACCCATACAGACCTGGGAGCTAACTGGTTTGGCAGCAGCTCCACTGAGAAGGATCGGGATGTTATGGTGGATCTCAACTTCAACATGGGTCAGCAAAAATAACCAATGCAATGTTTGGTTACATTGCCAGAGGTGTAGCATGTGAATCCTGGGAGCACCATGCTACTCAGTGCTGGGTAAGCCTCAGGTGCAGTATGAGGCCCAGTTCTGGTCACCAACCTATGGAAAGGATGCAGAGAAATGGGAAAGGATCCAGAGGCAAGTGAGAAAGACGATTGAAGAAATGGAACGCAAGACCCGTGAGCAAAGGCAGAAGGGACTAGCTCTGTTAGTTTGGAAGAGAGACATTGGAGGAGGGACATGAGAATTCTTCAAACATTGCAAAGGCTGCCATAAAACAGATGGACAAAAGTTGTTCTCTCAGACCATGGAGAGCAGGAAAGAGACAGGGGGTCAAACTCCAGCACAGCAGATTTCGACTGAATTTCTGAGAACATCTCCCACCCCTAAGAGCAGCCGGAGAATGGAACGGATGCCTGGGAAGGTCATAGAAGGGCTTTCATTAGAGGTATTCTGAAGAAGGCTGGGAAACCGTCTGTCTGGGACAGTTTAGACACAGCAAACCCTGCAGCTTGCTGATCTGGATACGTCTACACAGTGATGAACAGCTTGCAGCAAGGTCCCGGATGACCTAGTCAGCTGGTTCAGGCTCTCACCAGTTGGGCTGTAGGACTATAAAAAACGGGTGCAGCTGTTGGCCTGAAGCATGGAGCCTAGGCTGAGTGACTCCCATGAGTGGGAAGGCGAAAGCGAGAGAGAAACTAGATAGGAACCAATCAGGGGAAGCAAAGGGGAAAAGATGGGAACCAATGGCTGTACTGAACAATGGGCAGTAGTGGCTTATATTATCAGCATGGTATTTTCTCTCTTATTATCTGTCTCTTTCCTAGTGTTTCCTGCCATTATGTTAGCTTTTCTGGCTGTTACCACACAGTGAGCAGATGTTTTCAGAGAACTGTCCACCAAGGACTCCAAGATCTCTCTCTCCAGCGGTAACGGCTAATGTAGACCCCTGGTTTTATAGGTATCATTGGAATTATCTTGCCTTTACCTACATTGAATTCCGTCCGCCATTTTGTTGCCCAAGATGACATCAGTGGAATCAAGCTAATATCCACCCATTGGAGAATCGGACCCACATTTCCAGAGGCCCACAACCACAAAGGTTCTGAACCTCCAGATTTAGGGTACATCTACACAGCTACATTATTTCAAAACAACTAGCGTTATTTAAAAATAACTTAGTCTGCGTCTACGCAGCCAGCAGTTGTTTTGAAATAAAGTCGAAATACTGTCAAGCTGGAAGACTTCTTCCTCCGACTCCTGTAACCCTCATTGTGCGAGGAGTAAGGGAAGTCAGAGGATGAGTGTTCTGTTTTGAAATAAGTGCTGTGTAGACGCTCCCTATTTCGAAATAAGCTAGTTGGAAATAAGCTATGCAATTGACGTAGCTCAATTTGAGTAGCTTATTTTGAATTAAGCCCTGCTGCGTAGACACAACCTTGACTACAGGCCAGACTTTTAAATGTATTTAGGCTCCTATGCCTAAGCTGCAGGGTTCAAGTAGAAGGATTTGTACTGTGGGCCACAAACGGAGACAGATGCCTTCTCCAGCTGCAACGTAGGTGCCAAACTCTTGTGAGTGGGCTTCAGCAAGTATCTCTTGGCTAGTTTAGGTGTCTCCCTGCTCTGGTATATTATTCTGGGGTGTCTACCTGTCCCCATTCATTGTCCCGGGAGCCTGGGAACCTAACTTAGAGTTGTGGATCACATAGTTACTGAAATGCTACTCCAGGGTGCCCACTGGCCTGGTGGATCAGTATCAGACACACAAGAGCAGCCCGTCCCTGCCCCATGGTTCCATTTATTCCTGTAATTTCGGTGTTTCTCCCATCTGTCTTCCTTGCTCCCCAACTTTTCTCAGCATCCCGTGCAAGTGAGGAGACATGTTGTGGATCTCGTAACTGGCTCTGAATCCAGCCAACCAGCAGTGAGGAGGACCTGCACATCCAAGATTGAAATTGTTTTCTTGGCCATGACAACGCTGCTCACCATGGGCCCTTTCCTGTTGATAAGCCTGTCCTGCCTCCACATGATTGTCACTGTCCCAAAGCTGCCATTGGCAGGGGGAAGGCGTAAGCCTTCTCCACTTGCTCTGCCCACCTCACAGTGGCGACTTTCTTCAATGGAATGACTGTTATCACCTACCTAAGGCTCAAGGACAACTACAGCTCAGGGAGTGATCAAATGATTTCCCTCATGCACACAGTCATGATATTGGTGTTGAACCCCATAATATACACGCTAAGGAAAAAACGAGGCAAAGGGAGCCTTTAGGGAAATGGTAGAGAAGAACGTCTTTGCATGCAACTGGAGAAATTTGAGAAACAAAAATAGTTCATCAAAATGAGAAGAATGAGCAAAATCCACCAGCATTTATTGACCCTTTCCCCTCGTGCCCTCATTTTTTCACTGAAATTTGGCTGTTTAGAGAGTGAATGACCTGCTATGTAGGAAAACAGGGGAAACTGTGTTTTAAAAAAAGCTACTTTTTCCATCTACATTTTAAGGATTTTTTTTATTCAAACTTCTGAAACCGTTTGACCAGATTGAAAGTTGGTTGAAAAAAGCAAACAGGAATGTTTAGTCAAAGTGGCATCTCCAAATTAATGTTGTACCAATGTGAAATGTAATATACACCCGTGGTTGAAAATGGGATGTGCTTCAGAACAGCTCCACTTTTTGGGTGTGTCTAGACTACAAGGTTTGGTCGAGAAAAGTGGACTTTTGTTGACAAAACTATACCTGCGTCTACACTGCCACTGAGTGCTGTTGACATAACGTTGACAGAACTTAGCAGTTTTGTTGACAGCTGTAAACCTCATTCTAAGAGGAATAACACCTTTTGTCGACAGAGTTCTGTCAACGGAAGGCGTTATTGCATCTACACTGTCCTTTGCGTCTACACTGTCATGTTGACAAAGCGGATTGCTTTGTTGACAGAACTGGCTATAGTCTAGACACTCTTTGTCGACAGAAGCTTTGTCGACAATATTTGTTGACAAAAGCCTGTCGTCTAGATGTACCCCCTATGACTATACCATCTGATACTGGAATCCATTTTGAGCCAGGTATTTTTGTCATGGGAAGGGGAGATGCCAAACAAAAGATTCCTACCCTGGGGCAGAGTCCATTGAAGCAATGGGAAGCTACCAGCCCATTGTCTATAACTGACCTTTGACACTGCCTGACCTAACCTACGTAGATACTTGAAGAACTCTGATTGGAAGCTTATACATGAAATGAGAACAGCTGTTTCCAGTAAGAATTTGCATGTAACAAGTTTCTTAGTGGATTAGAACTAGTTATACGTTGTCTATTCATTTTAATTTAGTAACTTACTTTGATCTGCCTGTTTTCATTTGCAACCACTTAAATCCTACTGTTTGTACTCACAACAAACACTTTTGTTTACTCTCAGGCCCAGTGCAAATAAATGTTACCTGCGGGAAGCAACCACTGTGCATATCTCTCTTTCATTGTTAAAGGGTGCTAACCTATAAGATTTCACTGTGTTAAATTTTTATATGGGGTAAGACAGATTTATTCGGGGTCCCATTTGGGGGTTGGTTTCCTAGGTGCTGAATCCTTAGAACTGCATCCTCCCAGAACTGACGTGGTTCAGTGTCTGCATTGCTCTGCAGAGGGCGGTTACCCCATCCCTGTGCTTTGTCTAGGGGAGACCAGAGGGTCTGGCCCAGCAGGACAGGGTGGTGGGTAGTTCCAGAGAACAGGAAAGTAGGCATCAGTGGCATTATCAGCATACTGGGGAACAATCCCAATGGGATTTTTGGGACGGCACCTTGACATAATGATATGTAAATATTCCACGTGAAAAAACTCATGTCTCTGGGGGTATATCTACACTACCACCCTAGTTCGAACTAGGGTGGTAATGTAGGCAACCGGAGTCGCAAATGAAGCCCGGGATTTGAATTTCCCCGGCTTCATTTGCATATTGCCGGGCACCGC